TAGGGGTAGGTTACACACAGGTAGAAGCTCTGAGTTTATGGTTTATGCAGAGATGAGACTGATGTGAAGAACTAGAAATGGTCAAGATTTGAAAAGGTCAAGATTCTATATGAAAGGTTCAAGATTCTGAAAGCTGAGAAACTACAGAGGAGGCAGAAGACTAGTTTGAGACAGGGTTCCTGGAGCTTCTAGGAAAGAGTGCACTAATGGATAAACCAGAAAGTCATGGAATTGACTTGGAGAAGATGAGGAAGTTGAGGCAAGGGCTCAAGCAGATGGAAAAAGATAGATAGTGCTGGGTACAATCTAGCAAGGAGAAAATTCATTACCTTGGGGTTAAGGTGAAAATCACAATTGCAACGCTCATAAAGCACTTATCTGTGCCAGGCACTGTTCTAAGTATTAATTCATTGAAAAGACTTCAAATTTAGAACCCAGGAGTAGACCAGACAGGCCAGTGAGGACCAAGGAATGCAGAGTCATGGCTAACAGTATGAGTAAAACCATTCCAGTCATTTATAAGACAGGCTGACCTGTTTAAAAATAGAGACTGTGTACCTATAGCTCAGCTACCAGGGTGGGGTTTGTAGTTTAGGTTGGCAAGAGACAAGTGCATGCATCTCTTCTCAACTCTGTTCAGCGGCATCACACTGGTGACTGGAAACAAGCCACAGTGGGAGCATTTACACCATGGAAATCGACAAATGCTACAGATCAGGGCTCTCCCCTCCCCTCACCCCCAAGAGCCAGTTTGCCAGCACAACAGCCTAGAACCACGATGTATTTATGGGGTACTGCCTAGCCTATTTGATGAATCCATTCAACAAGCACTGATTTGGTATAGACTTCGTCCAAGCTGCTGACTCTAAGGTATTGTGTAAGGCACTGGGAATAAAGCAACAAATAAAAAACATGGACCCTGCCCTCATGGAGTTAACGATCTGGGGTAGGGGGTGGGGAACAGAAATAATGTTAACACAATCATTCAATTGTGAGTAATGCCACAAAGGAGAAATACAGGGTGCAGCAGCCATCTCACCCAATCCACCTGATCCTCAGCTCAATTCTCCAGCATGTTTAATGGAGAAGCAAAGCACAGCAGCCTCCACTGTTTTCTCACTGCTCATGCCTCCCGCCCAGCATTTCCTATCAATAATAGGTAACTTCTTCAGCTCCAGGCGGGCCACTTCCCAGATTCTCAGAGAGGTTTTCAGCCTCAGGGGTGAGAACCAATGCCTTAGCAGAGCAGTCTCAGCAAAGCCAACCTCCTCCCCCGCTCCTCCCCCACTCGCACCTGGCCAGGCCTAGCTCCCTGCCACTCTTCTGCTCCCCAGGACATCATGGTTTCCATGGGAACCCACTCACTTCAAAGGGGAACGAAGGAGACTGGAAGGGAGGAGGGAGAGGGGAGGCTGGATTAACCTCACCCTCTTGGCCCCATCTCCAAGCTGCTGGCAACCTAACCCCCAGGTCCTGGACAGCACCTAACACTATCCAGTCCTCTGGCATGGAGAGGTGGGGAGGAGTGGTCCAAGCTAAATTTTAACTTTTGGAGGGATAAATTCCAGGGTTGAGGTGGGGGCTGGGCAGGGAGAGAACTGAGCTGGGTCCAAACATGCGGTCCCCACTCCACAGGGTCTCCCTCCCCAAACCCCCTCTCAGCATTGCTCCTGGGCCACAAACACAATTACCCGCGATGTGCATCCAATCATGGGATCTGCTCGGATTAGACTGCAATCATTAATCTGAGCGGGAGCTCCTGGCTGCCTTGCTGATTAGCCCAGATGATGCTCTGGTATGATCCAATTAAAGACAGACTCTGCCTCCCCTCTTCCCCCTACACACATGCACACACACACACACACACACACACACACACAGTTTCCACATCAGAAGGAACCAATACATTTCATTAACACACGCTCATACACAAATAAAACCTCAGGGGCACTGGCAGTCTCCCTCCACTCACAGGCACACCTCCTCCCTTTTGTCACACTGACCCTCTGTCACCCTGCAGGGGCCTGGTCAGGGGCAGGCCTCTCCCTTTCTTCCTTCATCTGTGGTTTTGGGAGGGGCTGTGGTAGGCGCTCTGAAAAGTCAGTGCTGAGCACTAATCTGAATCGAAAGGGTCTTGTTACATTTATTGACATGAAATGCCGACTCCCTGATGTGCTTTGGAGCAGCCAGGCTGCCCCAGGCAGGCAAATCTAATTAAAATTACCCGACCCTACAGGAGGCTGAGCTCCCTCCCTGGTCATCCCACAATGGCTGTAGAGAGGGCCGCTGGTACTAATGGGAGAGGTGTGGTTGTCGAAGACAACTCTGGAGCCCCTGGGGCAGGAGGCAGGGCAGGAAGGACTGCAGAGAAAAGAAGCTGGGAACACTGCTGATGTCAGCTCGGGCGTCCTGAGATGCCGGGCAGCCATGTTTGGCTGGGCAGATGGTGGCATCCAACCTGGGATTCCTTCTTCATGATCAGATGTCTGCAGAGATAATTTGGGCAAATGCCAAGGGCTATGGGGCAGTCAGCCTGGTGGGAGAAGGTAAAACTCAGGTGTGAGCAGGAAGAAGCGTTGAAGGAAGATCTGGGCCTTCATTCCTCAAGTGACGTCATGATGGACAGCTCCCATGGGGGAGGTAACCCACCTCTCCTGCACTTTGGCCTAGGTAGAGTATAAGCCTGGGATCTTGGAGCCCATGGAGCCCAGTGGGAAGAACAAGTGAACCTATCTGCTTTGTGCCAGACACAGGGCCAGGTGCTTACATGGGCTGTCTCATGAATTCTTACCAAACCGGCTCATTAAGTTCTATCATGAAACTAAAGCTCAGAGAGACTAGTACACAGAGGAGGTGGGAGTGAAGCCTAAGTTGCCAGAAACTTTTTGTTACATCACTAATCTGGAGGTCTTTCTAGACCATGATCTGTGCTCACTACAGGTCCCTGCCCCTTAGGGGCTGGGAAGGTGCCTAGGCCAGTCTTCAGGGTGCATCTGAATCACCTGGGATCTTGTTAAAGTGCAGATCATGAACCCTTAGGTCTGAGTGGGGCCCGAGATTCCGCATTTCTAATCAGCTCCTGGGTGATGCGATGCTGCTAGTCCATGGGCCATACTTTGAGAAGCAATGATCTAAATGGAGTACAATGGCTGTAACCCCAAGTCATCAGACCATCAGGCACGGTACTTTTCTGTCCCTTCTTACACTCCCCACAAAAGCATAAGCCCACCTCACAGGTTAATTTACAGGTGGCTATGCAGCCTCATCTCCCCATACCCAGATGCTCTGGCCACTGGCCGTTCCTGGAACACCTCATGCTCTACTCTGCACTGGAGGGTCCTACTCCACCCCATTTCTCCTCCTGGTGAACTCTCTTACTCGCCTTTAAGATCACACTCAAATATTGCCTCCTCTGTGAAGCCTTCTCTGTTAAAGCTCTGACCACACTATGCTAGTTTCTTTTTTGCATATCTGTCCGTTCCTGGAGAGACAGGGAAGAGCCCATGCATTTACCTTTATAGGCTGACCCTCTTTCCCCCGGAGTCCAGCACAGTGCCTCCGCATAGTAATAGGAAGGAGTCAGTGAAAGAGTGTGAAGGAAGTAGGGAAGGGAGGACAGGAGTGCCCTGACTCTCTGACAGGTACTATGACCAGATCCAGGAGTTCTTTGGGGCCTAAGGCAAAGCTCTCTACTTGCAGGCAGCTTGGCCTAGCCTGTCCATTGGGCAGAGTGGGGCCCAGGCCCTGAGTTTTGCCCCTCTACCAGGGTTGGGAGGGACCCTCGTGCCAGGATCTATGGGTCTGGACTCCAGGCTCTTGGCCTTGGAGGCATTTAGCTCATCTGAGTAACTAAAAATAATGCCAATGATAATGATGATAGCAATAATTACCACCATTACCATAAAGGCACTGTCATTGTGGGGAGGAGTGAGGAAGAAACCAGTCTTCTTCCTATTCAACTCCAGTTGACCATTCCACCCACATGCACTGGCGTTAGCACCTGCTGCAATGTATGCCCAGCCAGAGGTAAGCCATGCTTGCTGATCCATGGGAACGTGTGTGCTCACACAAGTGAATGTGAGCAAGGTCCAACCTCAGTACTGAGAGCTGACTCAGGCATCTTAATGGCGTGGGCTCCCCGTGAATAAATGATGATTAAAATCCCTCAGTCAGTTCTGCTCTGAGATGACTGCATCTTCTCCCCAACAGTGTGCACAAGGCAGACAGGAATTTCCCTAAGCACTTCCCCACCCCCCTGTAATGTTCAGGGCCCAGCCCTGGGTGCATGGGCTGACACAGAGCAAGATGAGACAAGCTGCCTGCTCTCAGCAAACTCCCCATCCGGGGGAGGCTGCCAGAACCACACAGTTACACATAACACCTGTTGCTAAAAAACAGACTACCATGAATCAAAAATGTGGTCCTAGGACCAGCTGTGTTAGATTCATCTGGAATGCTTTTAAAAATTCATATTCTTCTTCCTGTAGCTTGACCCACTGATTCAGCATTTCTGAGCATGGAGTCCAGAAATATGTCTTAACAAGCTCTCCCAGTGATTTTCGGGCACAGCAAAGTTTGTGTAATACCAAGTCCTGGATGGTGCAATGAGACGCCCAGTACTCTGGTGGGCTTGCTGGAGTGAAGACAACAATGGGGGACAGGCAAGGAGAGAGTCCTGAGGCAGCTGCCTGTTTGTGAGCTGAGGGTTTCTGATGCTCATTAGGGCTCATCTCCCCAGAGGGCATGAGGAACGGGTCCTCCTGGCAGATACTACCCAGACCCTCATATCCCTTACTAGACAATTCCAGGAAGCTAGAGTCAACCCACAGTGGACAGCTGAGAGATCTCTGGATTGGTTTGAGAGAGAAAGTGGTGAAGAGAGCAGCTGTTGTCCATAGTCTTTGATGAGCCCACCCACCAGCCTGCAATCTCATCTCTGAGGGCTGAGCTGGGCCTGAGGACAGTTGGGGATTTCTGAACATGGCTGAAATGTCTCCTACCTGTACACAGCTCTCTTGTCAGCCTCCAGCTGGGCCTGGGGGTCAATGGGGGCACTGGGCACAGGCGTGCTGGCAGCAGCCGAGGGTGCGGAGATGTGGACAGCCTGGGCCTTGGAGGGTGCCTGAGCGGTTGCCGTCATCTGCAGAGGGAAGAAAGGGGAGGCGGTGGGTTAGTAAGGCCAGGACAGCTGGTTCCCCAGCTGGAACTGTGAGGTCTACCTCGGCCTGTGGTGTGTGTGTGGATGAGAGAATTGTGAGGGTATAATGAGCATCCATTGGTATATGTGCCACAGTGGGAAGAAAGCAGACCTTTCTCCAAATGAGAAAGTTCTAGAGAACAATTTAGGACCATCAAAAACCAGGTGGTACATCAGCAGACTTTAAAAGAGACGATTCCTAATGCAAATTAAGGCACTGACCTCGGCCCAGAAGCAGAAAAAACAGAACAATGAACCCTTTAAATTGCGCATATGAGTCATTTGGGCCATAGTGGGCAGTAATAAGTTTGATCTGATGACTTGGAAGAACAGAAAAAAATATCTAAATTACTTCTCATTTGGACAGCGGTTTTCATTTAACATGAGCCAGAGGTAACTATGTTAAAGGTTTTGATTGATAACTGAATGGCTCTCCCAATTTGGTTTACCTGGGCACTTGAAGATAAGTTTTAGTAGACAATGGACAGATTTCTCTTCTTAGCTATAACGAATGTTCAGGGCATTGGTTTTCATCCTATGATACATGTTTTTGAAGGTGCCCTGTGAGCCCCAATTTTGTGCCACTCAGAGCAACTCTTTTTAGTATTACATATTGGACTTACTGTGTAAGATTTTGTTTAAAGAAATGATTAAATGTCTTTAAACTTTTTGATAACCATCATTACAGAATTTAATGTTTTTATATTTTCTGTAGTCAAATGGATCCCTAAAATATCATGAATGGAGATGTGTCCCACTGTTCTCTTCCTCCAGCCTGTCCACAGCACCAGCATAGCTCTTACCACCTGTGTTGCTGGGCTTGACTTACTTGTCTGCCTCCTTCATGAAAGCCCTAGTCACACCTTCACCCCCAGCACCCAACTGACACCGAGTAGATGCCTAGTATTAGTTGAGAAACTGAGCAAGTGAATACACCTTGAAAGAATCAGATATTTTACAGCTGGAAAATTCACCCTTGCTCTAGGTCCCTGCTTTCTGGAAGAAGAAGTATTGTACTTCCATGGACACAAGCACATTCTTGCTGGTGCTGATATCCCCAAGATACTGGCTGTCTCATTTTCTTCATTTAGATCTCTGCTCAGGTGCCACGTCTTCAGCATAAAATAGAACCCCACTTCCCCTTGCTATCCCCTCCTTTGCTTCATTTCATAGCCCTTACCATGACCATATACTATATACCTACTTGCATTAGTTATCTTCTCTCCCACTCCCAACCAAAATTTAAGCTTAAACACAGCTTGATGTGTATCGTATTCCTAGGGTCCAGAATAGCCTGGCACTAGTAGGTACTCAATAAATATTTGTTGAATCAATGAATTAACAAATGACGGAATTTAACACTTCTAACACTTGGGCCAAAAAAAAAAAATCAATAATAAAAGTGCAGAACAGGGGAGACATGATCAGGCAGCAGTGTTTTAGTTGACAGCAGGCTCAGTATGTCCAAAGTGTAATGTGTCTGTCAAAAAAGCAAACAAACAACAATAACCTAAACTATCACTCTCTGAGGATGCGTTAACAGGAGCCTGGCTCACACACAGCTCCTAGTCCCATCCCACTCCACTGAACCAGGTCCAGGAAAGTATATGCAGAGGAGAGCTAACCAGGCTGGTGGTGGGATTCTGCACTATGTCGGATGAGGAATACTTGAATCAGGAATGTAGAAGAAAGACTTGGTGGATGGGGGAGATGGAGAGACATGAGAGGCCCCTTTGAATATCCAAACGAGGGATTAGATTATATCAATTCTGTTCTGTCCACCCCAAAGAGTCAAACGACAAACAATGCACTAAATCCATATAACATGGAAACAGAATTGGGCTCAACCCAAATAAGTTTCTAAGCCTCCGAGCTCGCCAAGGCTGGAATGGACCACGTCCAGGAGGTGGTGAGTTTCCACTATTGCAGAGGCCAAGCAGAATCTGATTCATCAGCTGGGCCCCTGGGGAGAGGATGGACGCTCCCTAGCTGGGTGGCTGGGTTAGGTGACATCTGAAGTCCCTTCCAACACTGATAGGCCATGAGAATGCACTTGAGAGCTTTCATGATCACTGCCCACTGCGCAGGGTTGGCGTGAGGCTCAGATTAGATGATATATAGTATGTAAAAGTGCTTTGGAAACTCTAAAGTGCTTCCCAGATGGAGGGGTGGTTGTTGTCATTAAACACGAGATTTCCAGAATGTGCTTCTTTCATAAAGCAAGGCACAGCTATGTCTGCACAGCTCATTTGAGGGTGAAATATAGGGTAGGCTGCTCTGCTCTACCCACTAAGGGTGAATTTCCTCACGTCCTTGAAGGAATCCACAAGGGGCTTCCATGAAGCTGAGCTTTTGGGAGGGAGAGGAATGAGGGGAGATGCTCCTTTTCCTCTCACCTCCCCTTCCTAGGCAGGACTTTGGGGAAAGGTGGAGGGAAAGCCCTGCTGGGATACAGAGGAAAGAGCAGAATGAAAATGTAAATCAAAACTGGTCACTTGCCAGCATCCCAAGAGGCCTCAGCTGACAGGCTGTTACTGAGGCTCAGGGAGGGGGGAGAAGGAGGAGGAGAGAGAGCAGAGCTGGTCTGAGGAGGACCATGATTCAAATTTATTTAGCTCCTGGGGGCCAATTCAGCAAACTCTGCATTTCCTCCAGGTTTGGAGAATGAGTATTTATCTCCAAATAGATTTCTTTTTCTAGCCAGAGACCTCCATTTCCCAAGAACTGGAGCTCAGAAGGGGAGGCCCTGTTGCCATCCACAGGGTCTGAGGGGCAGGGGGCCGGGGGTGACTTGTGGTGAGGTTTTGTGGGGAGGTTACTGGGCAGCATAGCCTAAAAGAATAGGAGCAGGGGGAGAGACCGGATGGACCAGGGGCAGGGCACAACCTTTAAATGACACATTGGAGCTCCCTTGTTCTGGCCTGTGAAAGCCAACTTAAATTTTCGGGAATTTTGCAAGCTGATTGACTTCACATTGGTAGCTTGAACTTGGCCATGGTGGGAACACTGACATTATGGAAATTGGCACATGCTGCAAATCAGGGCCTCTCCACAACCCCTACCCAGAGAGCCTGTTGTTAAATATTTACTAGCACACCACTAATGTCAGGGTTTCTCTCCAAATAACTTTCTCCTGTTCTTCTCGATCTGGCATTTGAAGAAACTAGCCTTACACACTCCATGAGGTCACTTGGTGTGTCCACAGCCGGTCCCAGAACCAACCACTGCAGACTCTGAGCCCTCCTCCCAGGAGACCTCAGAGCACTCAGGAAATCCTACCCAGGCAGCAAACTGGGGACAGGGTGTAGATATGGCACCACACAGACAGCAAGGGCAGTCCCTTTTCAACAAGAGAAACACAGAGGAGGAGGAGAGGCAAAATTGAACAATATCTTGAGAACTTTCTGGGCGATCAGAAAAGCCTCAGAGAGTGGAAGGAGCAGGGAATCTGAGGCCCTGGGTTTGATGTTCCTCTGTCAATTAGTAGCTATGCATTTTGGGGTAAGTTTCCTGACCTCTTTGACCCTTGGGTTCCTTATTTGTAAAAAGCAGGGGATAATACCTACTGAATAGGCTATAAGGATTAATCGAGAAAACAGGACAATGACTAATGGACAGGAAGGTGGCAGCATTCCCTAGAAGGCCGCCCCGCTGTGAGCTGCAATGTTGTGTCCAGAACCTACACAGGGTTCTGTGGTTCTCATCTCCTCTTACCTGAGCCTCCTTTCTTGGGTCAAAGGCCCTGTAGCCACCACACCACACTCTTGCCTCCCACACACGTGACAGCCCCTGGACTCCTCTCTGTCATCTAGCTGGAACCAGCCCTGCCTTATGCTTGGAGTGAAAGGGCCCTGCCCCGATTCTCGGTTTGTGAGACCTTGAGATGAAAGTTCCTAACCAACTGCACCCCCATCCTAAAATAGAGTGGGAGAAGTTGGGGGTTGTAAGCTGTGTGCATAGGACTGCAAAACCTGGAGGGGCTGAGAGATCCAATGCCCCGACTGTCCAGTCTGACCACGTAAATGAGCAGGAGATGTTTGTGGTGTGATTTAAGAGGTGCTGGGAAGCATATCTTGCCTGTCTACTGCAGTAGATGCTGGAATGCCCCACTGACTCTTTTGGTTCTGTTAAGCATCTCCCTTTCCAAATTGGAGGGGGAGAGTGGCAGATTACGTGCTAATGAGCTAAAAAAAATCTCGATAGCTTATTATACGTTCAACAATAAACCTGGGCAATAATTTAGTGTCATCCCCATTTTATATATGAGAAAACAGAAGCCCACAGAGGTGAAGAAACTGCCAGCAAACACAGATAGTTTGTGCAAAGGTTGGGGCAAGAACAAGGGCTTTCTGACTAATCATACTGTGTGAATTGTTGTATTTAATGACTTTTTTTTGAAGAGGAGAATGGGAAGGTTTATTTCCCCCTGAGTGAAAAAGGGGGCAGAAGAGGAAGGGAGCTAGAATCAGAATGAGGCTTCCGCTCCCAGCACATGGTCTTGTGTTTCTATCTAGTTCACCCCGTCCTCACTGCCAGCCCGGTTTCCCCCATGCCCCATCCAACCTCTCAGACACGAGTCAAAGGCAATTCCCCAAACGCTGGTCGTTCCGTGTGGAACCCAAACAGGAGGTCCTGGATGGTTTATTCATCAACAGTGGCTCAATGCTACTGTGTTCACTTCCCTCGGAGGCTGCGGAGGAGCCTCACCACACAGGGCTGCATCAAGGTTGGTCAAGGCCTCCTGCCAGCTTCCATTCAGAGTTCCTTTCTTTTACTCATGGGAGGTGGGAGCTCGTGGCTCAGAAGGAGGGATGACACCACACTCTTTCTAGCACGCCACAGAGGTAGTTTCCTGGAGACATTGGCACCGGATAGCACTGAATCCCACCTTTTCCCCTCGCTGCTGAGCAACCTTGGATATGGAACTTTCCCTTTTGGGCTTC